GGGGGGGGGCTCTGGCAGGAGCCCAGCAGAACGGCCCTGCCGTGACCGCAGGAGAGCCCTCCCGGCTCCTGACACCCCATCCCGTCTAAGCTCCCTGCATCTCTGTCTGCGGCGCCCCAGCCCCTTTGTCTACCCCAGTGCAGCCTAAGAGCCATCTCCAGAGGCCGGGTGGTGGGCTGACTGCCCGTCCTGTCGGGCGGCCTCTGTGGGCCCCGCACAGCGCAGGCTTCCTGCAGGGCCACCAGGAGGCCACGAAGGAGGGGACCAGGCAGGGCGGAGGTGGCCACAGGGGTCCCAGCCCTGCCCTGTCCTGGTGGTGAGGACTCAGGGGGACGGGAGCCTCACCCCCCACCCCTCACCCGCATGGAGGGGTGACGAGCAGGTAAGCACGGGCATGAGGGGGAAGGGTCGGGTGCCCCATGAGGTCGTGCACAGGGAAGGGTCCCCATCCTGCCATATCCTCCTGGGGCCCCTCAGCTCGGGTCAGATGGAGGGAGAGGCCAGAACCAGGCCCCTGGGCCCCTACCTGCTGCAGGTGGCCCAGGACGTTGGTCCTGCAGTCAAAGACACCCTTCCCCTCGGAGGAGTACAGGTTATACAGAAACTCCGTGGTGTAGTGTTCATGGCACTTCTCGTTTCTGGAAAGAGGGCCGGGGCCGGCTCGGGTCTCGTCCAGACGCTGAGCCCCCGCCGGGCCCGGCCACAGACCAGTGCTGGGGGAGGGTCCGGTGCCCCTCAGCAGCCCCAAGCCACCCTCTGGGTCCGGCGCCCCTCAGCAGCCCCGAGCCACCCTCCGGGTCCGGCAGCCTCACCGAAGCACCAGGCCCCTCTGGATGTGTGTCTTCATCTTCTCGGTCATGTGCTCCACGTTGGCCTGCGGGCATGGGGGGTACACAGGGTGAGCCCGGAGCGAGAACAGCAGCTGCACAGCACCCACCCACAGCCTCAATGCTGTCTGGGAAGGAATATTCCAGGCTGACCACAGGGCCAGTGTGACCCAGGGGTCATGGGGACGCACGCAGGTCGGCTGACGTTGGCGGGGCCCTGGGTGACGGGGCTGGGCCGTGAGGCCAGGTGGGTGGCTGGGGCCGGGAGGCCACGGCAGCGACAACACGGACGCTGAGTGGAGGTCTGCACGGGGTCGGGGAGGAGGCGCTGGGGGTCATGAGCGGGGTCCCCTCGCCGGCAGGGAGCCCCCAGCCTGGCTCCTGTGTGTCTCAGGAGGGGACCCCCGCTCAGCCCCGCTGGGACGTCTGTGGCAAGGAGAAGGGCTCGGGGCCTCGGCTCACTTTTAAGTCTTGGATGTTGAAAGGGTCCTCGAAGACGTAGGCGGCGTCGGCCCCCACGGCGATGCCCGTCACGGTGGCCAGGTAGCCGCAGTAGCCCCCCATGGTCTCCACGATGAACACGCGGCGCTTGGTCCCCGAGGCCGACTGCTTGATGCGGTCACAGCTCTGGGGGCCAGAGGTGGTCAGGGACTTCCCCGTGGGCCACAGGGAGCCCCTGCCCCTCAGGGACCCGGGTCTTCCCCCAGAGTTGCCCAGGGTGTCACAGCCCACACCGCATGCTCTCCACAGGGCCCTCAGAATCAGGTCCTCAACGGGGGCAACTGTTCGCCCGGGGGACAATGGGGGTGTCTCCAGCACCTAGCGTGTGGAGGCCAGGGATGGGGCCGGGAGGCTCTGACGTGGGGCCAGGGAAACACTGGGCCTCAATCCTCTGATCTGTACACGGAGCGACGCTCCAGCCACTGTAGGGTCATTGTAACAAGGGACGAGGCGACACATGAAGGTACACATCCTACAGATGCCAGTGATGATGCGACACAGGATGATTCTAACCCAAATGTTCAGAGTTTGAGAAAAAATTATAACGTTAAACAAAGAATTGAGAAAGGACCAACAAGACCAGTGGGTTAGTGGGATCTGAACCATGAGGCTAAACCCCAAGTAAGAGACAACCAGCAAAGTGGAGAAAACAGCTCCAATGTTTGCCAGAGGATCGGTGTCCTACATATATAAAGAGCGCTGACAAATACAAAAGAAAACTCACCAGGAGGAAAATGGACAAAATACAGAAAAAGGTAATTTTCCATAAAACCCACAAATGGGCAATAAATATAGAAACAAAAGTTCAACTTCATCAAAAATCAAGATACAAAGGAAAACAATACAATTCTTCCTGTCGTAGAGGCATGAAAAACAGGACGATGCTTGGTGCTGGTGAGGGGCAGAGGCACAGAAGTTTCAGAGGAGCCATGGGTGGCCCCTATATAGCTGCCAGGATGGCAGGGGTGGGGGTGAATTTGAAGAAAACCCCTGCAAGACCACAGGTCCGGGTCAGCAGATCAGGATGGGGGCGGGGGAGGTCTGTAGTCTTTTGTTTGCTTTATTCTTATTTTCTCCTTTCTCCTTTCTCTAGCGTGACGCAGAAGCTGCTTGGGTTCAGTCCCCGGGGCCCTCCAAACACAGAAGTGCTGGACCCTGGGGGAAAGCGGGGCTCCTGTGGGGCCATGGATGGCGTGGGAGAGGTCTAGAGGTGGAGAGAGCCGTGAGGAGGCCCCCATGGAACACCAAATGGGGCCAGCCCTGCTCTAGTGACGGCACATTCTCCCGAGTGCCCACCCTCCCACGTCCCAGCCACGGGGCTGGGCTCCCCCCCCGTCCACGTGTGGCTGCTCACTGGACAGAACCGTGGCCCGACGTCCACACGTGCATTAGCTCAGCTGAGTCAGCTCTGGCCCTGACAGCCACCGTCCCCACACCGCAGTGACCCCAGAGCCAAGTCCTGCCTGCCACCCATGAGGCCTCGAGGGACAGCCCACCTGGGAGCCCGCCCGCGTCCAGCCTGGCACCCCACCTACCTCCATGGCGGCGTTGACGGCGGTGTCCGATCCCAGGCTGAAGTCGGTGCCCGGTACGTTGTTGCTGATGGTGGCCGGGATGACGCACATGACGATGCAGAGCTCCTCGTAGCGCCCACGCGCCTCCACCAGCTGCAGCACCCCCTCGTAGGCCTGCGGGCGCATAAGGCTGCGCTGGGCGGCGAAGGCGGGCTCCCGGCCCAGGGGTGCTTCGGCCCTGCTCCCCAGCTGACGCGCTATGTGCCTGGGGCTGGGTGCCGGGACCCCTGCAACCACCCCGGGGCCGCGACCCGGCGGACCCCACCCAGGGGCTCCGCAGCCCGTCAGCCAGGCAAACGGGGCCCCAAGGAGGACAGGAAGGAGACTCGCCCACCCTGCTGGGACCACCTTCGACACCGGGCGGGCTGCAGGGGGCCTGGGGCACCTCATGGAAAGGGCAAGAATGGGCATTTGTCACTGGGGCTGACCAAGCACCATGTCACACCAACGATGGCCTACCATGCACAGCACAATGTCTGCGAGCTGCCACAGGGACCCCACCACCTAGGAATTCCACCTCCCAGGGGCCCCACCTCCCAGGGACCCCGCCTCCCAGGGGCCCCACCTCCCAGGGACCTAGCCTCCCAGTGGTC